TTTTTTTTTTTTTTTTCTTCTGAAATTTATATATGATTTGTATGCATGTCTTCCCAAAATATTGGTTTTTTTATAATAAACTTATCACTAAATGTTAATTAAACATAATATAAATTATAAAACTTTTGAGTGTTAAATCATAATTAAGAAATTTTTTGTGTTACATTAGTTAACAAATATAGTTTCAAATGAATATGATTTGAAAAAGTTAAAAAAGAGGTTTCAAATGCATGAGATTCAAAAAAAATCTAGTTTTACAAGTATATATGATGACAAGTCTTCTAAACATAAATACATAAAATATATGATTCAAGTCAAATTTAAACACTTATTTATTTGAATCAAAGATTATAATATTATGTAGCTAAATAAAATATATATCTTTATTAATAATTTATTTAAAATAATTGATTAATAATTATAATTTTTTTGATAAAAATATAATTAGTTTTGTAACCATAATTTATACGGATATAATCTAATACTATAAATATTCATAACCAATTTTTTTTTAAGCATAATTAAGCCGTGGCTTACTCTATAAAACGTGAACTCACGTGCGCCACGTCTTTATAATACTTTGAATCCGTTTTGATTCTCTTTTTGAGGTGTCTAATTTTTTTATTTGAAATAGGTATCGGAAAAGGAAGGTCCTTGCACTTTGAGCTATTTCATAATTTAGCCCTTTCAAAGTTATCATTCAAAAACTAAAAACATTTGCGTATTATATTTTTGTTGTTCCCTTTGTGGACATTTCTGATCATGTTTTTGTTCATATGATATTCAAGACCAACAATATGTGAGCATGTGAGCGGTATAATCTGGATATATTATCATTGATATATAGTTTAATTAGTTTGTGTTTGATAAATCATAAAACTAAATAAATAGTGTTCAAATGGTTATGACAAGTGGGGCATCCAGAGGTTCCTCAGGGTCCGGACCATTACTCTATTTTAGCTTATAATTGTAAAAAAATATAGATTTTTTTTATTATTTTATTTTTGATATTAAGACCCAACCACTAAAAAAATTATGTGTAACTACTAGTATATATTCACTGACAATAAAATTAGTGTCACTGCTACTGTAAATTTCTACGTCCTCTCCTGGTTACGACATATACAAAAAGGATCCACATCTATTAAGGTGGCCGAGATCACGTTTTTTCCCCTTGAGCGGGTTGAAAATGATGATGGTGAGCTGACTTCACTAAACCATCCAATTTTTTCTCTTAGGGTAGATTAAGTTGGTTGTGGGATGGATGTATTTTGGGGAAGAGTACTCTCCTCTGTGGTACCACACAAATCATTGTTTCAACTTGTTCTCTAACTCGTTTCAACACCATAAAGGTTATGCATTTGTTATTTGTAGGTTATGTTATATACTTGTACTATGTGAGGTGGTTGAGAGGAATAAATTGACAAGTGTTTAGGGATGGAGAGTTAGAAGTGTGAGGATGAAGAAATACTGATATAACGTTTACATGACGTGAATTGAAAGGGATGAAAAAGATCGACATCTTTCACCTTTAAATTGGGATAGGTGCCTTCAATTAAATTTGGTCTTACAATATATTTTTTACATAGATCAGTTGTATGCATTATGTTATAATCGGTCCCTTATTCCAAAATACTTAGATTTATATTTAAAGATAAATATTTGGTCGAACTCACGTATAGTATAATTAAATTCATTCTTGAATATCACCAAAGTTCATTTGTAAAATGTAAAGGTTGATATAGTAAAAAAAAAACTACAAGTGGAACATTTAAATATTATATGATTTTTATATACAATGTCACATTTACATCGACCAAAGAGCATACATACTTGGTGTCTTGGGATGACACAAACAACTCCTTAAAATCCATCACAAATCCATTACAAACTTGTCTGAAGTTCATCGTGAATCCGTTGCAAATCAATCACAAAGTCATAATAAAGGTAAATTTAATTTAAATATGTCGGTTTAACCATTTTAGTGTCGAATTTGTGATGAAAACTGCTATTGAAAAATGACTTTTTATTAGTAATACAACTCTTAAAAAATTATGCAACCCCAGTGTGTGTGTGAGAGTGTGTGTGTGTGTATATATATATATATATATATATATATATATATATATATATATATATATATATATATATATAAAAGAGAAATTACCACTGGTAGATATTTTTTGGGAGAAATTTCAAAAAATAAACACAAAAAATCAAATTTTCAGATATAGATATGGATTCCGCGAAGGTAAGCTTTGAGGACTCTGCATAATCAACTTAATCTTCGAGGAATCGATGTAGCAAAAAAAATCTAAAGATTCATTCCACGGAGCGCGGAGGTAGCTCCGAGGAGTGAATCTTCAGGAAAAAAAAAATTACACCTCTCATGGTTCTTTTATGCAAAAATCTCTGATTAAAAGACTAAATTTTTTTTCCACCTCACATTCATTCCAAACATTGTCAAGAAAATTTCATATCATCATAATCCTTTCTGTAGAAGCTATTTAATCGAGTAATGAAACGAGATCAGAAATAAAATGAATTAAGAACACACAGAGTAAATATAATCTGGTTTCAGCTCTATTATGCTTTCACGATACAAAGAGTTTACAGACAGAAGAGTTGCAAAAGTTCTATCTATTTTATGTATCCTTCCATATTTATAGGAAAAATAGAAAGCACACAAAAAATACAAAGGGCTAAAACATTACAGCTTCGAAATAACTATGCCTTTGTAATAACATTACATAACTATCGGATACAAAGTTACCTTCGACACCTTACTACATACTTCGACTCTTACAATCTCCCCCTTTGTAAGCAGTGTCGGAATCAGGTTATCAAAACTTGACCAGCCAAATGCAATGTTCTTTCTTATCTTTGCATACAAATTCATTACTTTCTTCAGTTTTGCTTTATCCCCATCAATATTTTTCTTAAAACTATTCATACGTACAATTAAGTTTGTATATTGAGCAGTTGTGTATCTTTCAACATCACATGACTGGTAAAGAACTTCGTTGACGTTCCCTTTTTGCTTTTTCCAATGAAAATGATTCCCAATGGCTTCAAACATATCTCCCGATCAACATACTTCTTTAAATCCGCTTGACTCTTCAACACTAACTGAGGAACAATAATTTCTTTTCCCATTAACAAAGCTAATTCAACATCTGTCAATGCTAGACAATCTTAGTAATTGTCTATGAAAAACTTGATATAACCTAACCCCAAGTGTAACACATCTTTACTGGTTCCTTGAAGTTTCGAAGCATCCATGTCTTTAAGAATGTTCGCAACTTGAATAAGGTCATTCAAATTCATCAAGGGAAAATCAGCAATTGAGAAGTCGAAAGCAACATTATCTGTCCTCACAACATGGTATCAAAAATTTTGCAGCATATTCTCGAATAGCACATCCTTGGTTATACTCAACACCCGAACAATCTTAACGAGTGACCAAACCTCTTCCTGTTCCTTTCCCAGCGCAGAATGAAATGTCAACTTCATATGAATAATATCATATTTAATCTTAAATTGATTAACAATTTTATACTAAGCTGTGAGAAACATCATCTCATTGACTGGAAAATCAAGCTGATTCATGTCAGAATTCTCGATGGCATAACTCTTCCTTGGTTTCTTTTCGAACTCATACATTTCACTGTAAGCTACTCTTGCTTCGGTATTCTCATAATTGTGTAGCTTCATTGGATCACCTTTGTTCAAAGTAGGAGGATCACTTTGACGAAGCCTCAAGATACTTTGAATTTGGCGCTGCTTTTCTATTTCTGCATCGATTTCAGCTTTTCTTTCTTCTTTTGATTTTTCTACAACAACCCCTTTACCTCTATCTTTATTTGTTTCAGGTTTCTTAGGTTTCTAAGAAGTACCTTCACATGTAGACCCAATTAAAATGCCTTTAGTAATCGACCTTGTAGTTGTTATAGTTACTATCACCGGATTAGCCTTCGAAATTATTGGTTTTGGTGTTGGAATATGAGCTGTAAAGACTTTACCAACAACCTTTGCTTCTTCATTAGTTTTTCCAGAAGCACCTTCTCCTTTACCAACATTCCTCCTTTCTCCCCCTTCACCCCTATGACAACAGGCGAGGCATTTGTTGGTAAGAGATTATTCAGCTAAGATAACGGGGCTAACTCCTTCTGAATGGTAGTTTCAAATAAACGAAACTTATGAGTTAAGAACTCAGGAGTTAAGAGAGATGAAGACCCAGACTTCGAAACCAACTCTTTCAATTCACGAAGCATGACATCAAGCTTCCCAAAACTTGTAATATCACCAGTTTCTTTGTCTTCAATCTTAGGAATAAGAAATTGATAACATTCCACCACTTTTGTTACAGCCCCTGCAACAATATCGACTTTTGAAAGTAGAGAAGAGTAATTGGCACTTAACTCATTAATCTCTTTTGCCACATCAACCTTCAATTCCTCAAGATTGCGATTTACATATTCTCTTATGGTCTTAACATCCTTAATGAAAAGAACATATCGTTCATTCGCAACTGTTCTCATCTCCTTGATTTCACCATTGAAAGTATCAGATTGAGCTTTGACTTGGAGCTCATTGTTTTTATCCATTACATCCAGCTTGTGTTGAAGTCGAAGCACCTGAGCTTTGAGCATGACATCGACTTCAATTCCAGATACATAGTGTTTCCCTCCTGCATATGATTGTGACTACACTAAGGATTTGAGCTTGGTGTTGAGAATCTTGAATTGTTTCCCTGACATGAGAATATGATCTGTGATTTCTTCTTCTTCAGGATCAAATTCTAAGTCAACGAATGATCCTCCAAACCCTCTATCATCAGTTTCATCATCATTTATCATTTTGGGTGGTTCAGTTGATTGAGACAGAAAGAGAGAAGTGATTTGTTGATTCATGACTTGATCAAAAGTTGGTGAATGCGTGATTGTAGAAACAGTTGTGAAAAATGGTGGTAGAGAAGTAGTGGTAGTTATGGTAAAGGTTTAGAAAATACCTTGATTAGTAGAAACAGGGTTTTCTTTGTTCGAGACTCCTTCACCCATGTTGACATTTGCATCCGTATGAGATACGTGTGCAGGGATGCCTGAGGTTCGAACCTCCTCATTAAATGACTTGGTTAACAAAACCTCAGGTGGTATGACCGAAGTCTTCTCAGGAGTCGATATTTTGTTTGAGTCATCGAGAAAAGTAGATGTGCCCACTAATGAAGTTTTCACAGAGCTACTTGAAATTCCTATATCCTCGAAATTTGATTGGACATGAGATTTATTCTTAGATGAAACATTACCCATTGGTCTTTCAAGAACTTCTTTGTCTTCCATGGAGTCTTCCCGAATAATCAACTTCCTATTCTTTTGTTTCTTTGAAATATGTTTAGCAATATCCTCAACCCTTCACTTCTTAGAGGATAGAGAAACAGGTACAGGTACTTCACGAATGATAAGACCTTTCTGAGTTACATGAGGCTTTCGAACCATTGAAGGTGAAAAGTTGGATGACCTTTCATGAGAATTTCTTGACCGATGAGCTATCTTTTTAAGGCGCTTGAACACACCATATTTCGAAGGAACTATCTCCTTTGAAGGCTCAACTGTTTCAGTATCAATAGTCTTTCTGATTTCTTTGAAACTTTGACTCCCTCTCCAGCCTTTTTCTATGGCGACTTAGTCACTTTCTCCTCTTGAATAGGTTTCGAAGGACTAGTTTCAACAACCTTCTTTGGCTTTCGTGAATTATTTGAAGAATCTTCATCAAAACTTGGTAGTAAGACTCCATTCTCATCAGTAGGACTAATTGTCTGTAAATATGGCATTAACACAGGATACGACGGATCAACCTTTTTGAGCATTCCATCCGAAATTCGAGCAACTGATGGAAACATAATCACATCATCTTCAATAGATTTTGGGTAGTGATACTTTACAAACTCAGCCTTTGGTTCATCTGTAGACACCTGAATACCTTCCTTCTCATATGTATATCGAAGAATTAAACTCCAATACCTAACACAAGAAACCTTATCCACAACATTGGTATTCTCAACGCTTTTCAAGAACTCCTTCCACATCCGAGTTGCATAAGCCACCTATAGGTCATAATATATGTCAGCAACCATAGCATACACCTTCAGTCTTCCTTTATCCAAACCAACACTTCGACCAGTCAGACATCAAAGATAAATGACAAAGAGAAAATTCTAGATACTAGGAAGGCTTGATTTCTTGAACTCGCTAATCTTAGTAAGAATGGGTTGATAACCCATCTCATTGAACATGTGAATCACCTGCTCATTAGTGACCTTATAGAAAGGTGGAGAAATAAGGATTTCGAGAATCTTAGCAAAAAGCTTTTTGGATAATCTAAACTTCTTGTCATTCACCAGATTGAATGTAACTGTGTCCAATGTCTTGCTGTATGTTGCAGTGGAACCAACAATTGAGAGACAAGACATTAGAACTCCAAGCGAACTAAACATCGTACTAGACAAAACTGAGTGTTTTAGAGCAACAATTAACATCTTGAGTTCCTATGGATAAACAGAAACATCTCCATCAACTTGATAATTCGTACTTTGCATCTTCATAATGGGTTGAGAATATACATCTTCAGTGGTGTTAGATTGAGGAGCAACCTCTGCTAGGGTTTTCTTGAAAGCTTTGAAGAACAGAGGAAAAAGAGGGCACAAATCGTCTTTGAGTATGTTAGGAAAGCATAAAGTTGGAATGAATACCCAATTTCCCTTTTTATATGTATCCCTAATTTGAATCTCAAACGGTTGCCATCAATTAATATTACACGTGGCCCTTGAAAATCGCATTATTAGCCGATAAAGACGCCATGTCAGATAAAGTGATTAGCATAGTTTCCTAGAAACGCGCATAATTATCAAACCATCTAATCAAAAGTCTCTTTGTGATTACCCAGTAGATAAGGACCATAACCTTCATAATGGAGGTTGGGCTCTTTCGCTTTTGGGTTTGAAAACGATGTCATGTGCCAGACTTTCAAAATAATCACCCTGAGTTGGTAATACTCATAACCTCAAGGATTTCGTGAGTACAGTGTGCCAAGGAAAAAGATAAGAAGAAAAATAATAAAATTTTGGATCTGTGATGTTGAAAATATAATTTCGACATAAAAACAGATAAATCCCAAGCAAAGATTGCTTCGCAAATCATCAAGAGAAATGATCAACAGCTTGTGTGGTTTCCCATGAATTACAATCGAATACTTGTTGAGAAGTATCGAAGGGTTCTTTTAGAATGGATTCGAAGGTGGCTTAAGAATTTCATTACATTGCACAACTAAACATAAGTGTGACAAGTTGTAAACGAAACTACCTTTTTGACCGTTGTAGTCAGTGACAAGTAAGCTTTGAAAAATTTATCAAGTAACGAAGGTTGAGAATGATACCTACATAGAAATCATATTCTTGAAACCGAAATAAGTCCTAAATCTTGTTGGGTAACAAATGTCGTGGGTTTCGAACATTTGATCAAGATTACTACAAAGAAAAGAATATGATTTTGAGTATCAAAAAGAGGTACTGAAACAAAGGTTTCGTCAATTCTAGAACAAGGTTCCCCGTCAACTCCTTAATTTGGTTCGATACTTAGGGTTTCACTTTCATCACGTTCTCATGATGTTAGATCATAAACATAGAGTTTTGATATATCTAGATCCTGATTGGGTTTTACCAGAGATCTCTTGGACATATGTCTTTATGTATGAATGTGTAAGAATTTTGAGATGAAAAAGATTGGGTAAAAGAAATGAATGTTCCTCTACTATGATTGGACCAAGCAGTAAACTCTTAACTCATATAAGAAGAGTAAGGTAGCTCATGAATGAATGAGAAGATAGCCTAATTGGGAAAGAATTCTCAGAATGAGAAAACCATCAAGGCTTCGAAGCTCATAGCATTATCGAGGCTTGGGTCAACATGCTGCAACATGCTTCTAGGGACATCTAAACTAGTACATAGTTTTCGAAAATATACCTTCCCTGAAAGCAGCAAGCATGTACCAAGAAGACTCTTTATTCGATGTGATGTCAATTAAAATCTTCGCTACATCTTCACAACAAATGTAAAATCATACAAGAAAAGGAAAATGTTTTTGGATTTTTGTTTTATTAAAAGAATAACAAAAATAAGAATTTTTTTTGATATTTTTGAAATTTTCAAAATAGAAAAATAAAGCACAAATATTTTTGGTATTTTTGATTTTTTCGACATAGAAGTAACAAAAGATAAAACACAAATATTTTTGCTGTTTTTGATTTTTCGATATAAAAGTAATGAAAAAAATATTAGTACCAAACTAACGAAAATTTGTGATTAAGCGGATTGTACATGATGTCGAAATCGAAGCGTGTCGAAGCGCTGAACATGAACAATAACCTCTGAAAGATGACCCGTCTCCTCTGAATGAACACTTAGCACCTCTGAATCGACACCTTTGCACCATTTTCCTTTGTCATTCTTTCGAAATAAATCCTGGAACAAAATTAGCTTCTATCAATGACAGTTCATTTAGTAATCTTACAAACGACTTTTCATCCAATGGCTTTGTAAAAATATCAACAAGTTGATCAGTTGTTTTTACAAAGTGAACTTCAATATTTCCATCTTCCACATGATTCTTAATGAAATGATAACGAAGTGCAATATGCTTTGTTTTCGAATGTTGCACTGGATTGTGACAAATGCGTATAGCACTTTGTGAATTACAATACAATGGAATCTTCTTCATGTTTATAATGTAATTGTAACGCCCTAATTCTCAGGTACATCAGAGGATCGCGACAAGGCGAAGGCGTGATCGTACAGCTCCTCCTATTATACTTATGTTTCTGGGAAAAACTATGATAATCAGTATTTTGAAAACAAAAGTTGTAATGCTTTGATGAACTTGATATGTTTAAAAATTTTAAATTGGTTTGAAATTTTTGGATGTTACAAGTTGGTATCAATGCCTTGGTTTGAGTGAATTGGAGGAACATTGTACGATTAGCCGGAGCCAGTAAGTAGACCCCAAAATACCATACAGTTATTTGATTATGTGATATGATAGAACAACATGCTAGTACTAGGCTAGGGATCTTCAGGAATTGCATGCTAAAATTGTCTGATTACATGATGCCTGCTATCCTAGGGTTTCTCTTATGTGAAATTGACATCATTACTGTAGTTATCTAGTGTAGGCATCACAGTTATACATAACTAAGATCTTATAGATTGAGCATGTTTGATTTGGCCTTATGTTATGTTCTTGTTTAATTGGGAGCTTATGGTAGGATTGAATATTGAAAAGTCTATAGGGTCCAGCATTACGTATGGCTAGCATACACTAGTGCTGCAGGGTTGGTGGAAGTTTCGCAGATGGATAGGTTGTTTGGGAGGTGTCCGCCGACTTCGAGGCACTTAGCCTTCTTCTAAGGGTGAAGTTTGAGTGCTCGATGTGATTATGTGTGTTGTTAGGGCTTTGTGATGATACTTTGGACAAATATGGGTAGGTGTGGAAGGTAGTATGGGCCCGTACTACTGAAAACATAGGACCCATATGTGTAACAAGGAAGTCACAAACCCTAGGGTTTTGTCGGGGGTTGGTCCCCAGTTATTTGTATGAGTTATCTGATGCCTTGTGTTATGTTTCAGAATGGTGGTAACCAGGCGCTTTGTGACTGGATATGGTTCGGGATCAGGATCAGGATCAGGAGAGGGCGGATAGGAGGAGTTGACAGCACCCGAGATGATCGGACAGATGAGTCCAGATGAGATGGATGACAGGATCCGAGCGATCCTGCACGATGAGGTTGTTGTGTTGTTCCGGGCTGAGTTGTCGGAGATGTTCGAGTCGATTAAGACTGCCATAGTGGAGTATTTTGATGAGTGCTACACAGCCCTCGCGGAGACAGCCGCCGCCGCAGCTGCATCAACTATATCTACAGCAGGGGGAGGAGTTGGTAGGGTTTTCAGTACCAGGATTTCGACAACATGAAGCCCCCTACTTTTGATGGGACACAGGATCCCATCAAGGCTATGAGATAGATTTCCGATGTGGAGGGGTGTTTCTTCAACTGCTCGTGTCCTACTGACCAAAAGGTCAGGTGTGCTCTGAACCTGCTTAGGTCCGGATCCAAGGACTGGTGGAGACTTGCAACTGGGGCTTACAATGATGATCAGAGAGCTGCTGTTACCTGGGAGCAGTTACGGGATATGTTTCGCGCTCGTTACATTTCTGAGAGTCGAGCGGGAACGGTTGGCACAGGAGTTTCCGAGTTTGAGGCAAGATGGAGAGTCGGTGATGGATATCATTCG